TTATTTTCGCAATAGATTCTAGATGTCTCTTTCAGTCCATAATTGAAGGAATTCAAACTCAAGTTACCTCTAGTGAAGGTACTCGTGTATCTTAGCACGACGACCGAGTATTCGCCGTGTAATATTGAGTATTTTGTGAGTACTCTTGTCCCGTTTCTGCATACTCTGTTGGTCTATGTAGAATATTCGTAAGCATATTTTTTGGTGAGTACCGTTATACTACATCAGTTTTTACGTAATATTAAAATATCAACAAAAAATACAGGCATATACACACTGAAAATTTTTTTTGTCTCTTTTGATTTATTATCAAAAGTATGCTTTATATGCAAATACATTCTATCAAGTGATTGTAAAAAAAAGATTTTTACTTTTTTTTTATCAATGATATATTAAAGAAATAAATTTTAGATATAGCACAATTATTTAATGAATTGTAGTGATAGATCATGCCAGAAGAATATAATCGTAGACAAATAATAGAAATATCCATGACTAGTAAAATACATCGATGTTTAAAAATTGTTTTAATTATGATTTCGTTGAGTGTCATTTTTCAATTTTTTATCCATTTTCATAATGAAAAATCTCAACTCTCTGCCACTACTGTCTCCTCAAAGAATCATATTCGAGGAGTAATTGTAACTTTAATTCGTAGTACAAATCAATCCATATATCTCACAATTAATATGATATACTCTGTTATTCATTTTTATCCAACTACTGTTCGTTATAGATATCCATTTATCATATTTCATGATGAAAATTTTACTTCATCTATGCGTCAACAAATAGTATCATGTATTCTCAAAAACAACAAACAAATACAAATTTCATTTGCACTTGTTAATTTTCAAACATCAATACAACCATCTAATACATCACGATTAGAAAAAACCAATTGGATATCGTTTAATGTGTCGATTTTGAATATATAATGTTTTTTATCATCCAGCAATTATTGAAGGTCATTATGATTATGTAATGAGAATGGATGATAATCCATATTTTATGGATACAATCGGAAAAAATCTTTTTCTTTATATGGATAGTCAAAAATTATAATTATATTTATCGATCTATATATGGTGAACCGATCACACCAATGAATCCTATCTTACAACGTTTTCTCAATAAAAATAATCTTAAACTTAGTTGTATTTATAATAATTTCTTTGTTATTCGCTTGAAATGGCATTATGAATCAAAACAAGTTCAAAGTTTTGTTCATGAATTAATTCAAGATAATTTCATGCTTCGAGAATATGTTGGTGATGGATGTGCTCATTCAGCAATGCTTGAAATTGATAATCAAGGTACAGTAGCATGTGTAGGCATGCACCAAACCCAAACCGTTTGGGTTTGGTGAGTTTGGGTATTGAGTTTGGGTTTGGGTATATGAGTTTGGGTTTGAGTTTGGGTTTGGGTAGGGTTTGGGTATGAGTTTGGGTTTAAATTTGATTATGGTCCATGTATCTAAGCTTTTGATATACGACTGTTGATCACACTCAAACTCAAACTCATACCCAAACCCAAACCCAAACTCAAACTCAAACTCAATACAAAGCATCAAAACGAAAACTATTTAGGGCTAGTGCATGTCTAGTTGCGACATCGGACCCAAACCCAAACCCAAACTTCCAAGAAGTTTGGGTTTGGGTTTGGGTTTGGTGCATGCCTAAGCATGTCTGATGAATATTCCCTATGGTCATAATTCTCATCTGAAGGTAAGAGGTTCTGCATATTATATGTTTTATTTTGTTGATGGATTTTGGGAAGAAATGTTCAATTCTTGTCAGCAATTGACTATTATTGATGGAAAATTTCGTCAATCTAAACTAATAAGAATACCTGTATGAAGAATCAATTCAAAATAGAAAATCTTCCAAGTTTCGCAATATTTTATATTTATATTACAATGATATTTTTGTATGATATCTATGGATGTTAAACAAAGAAATCGAGAAATTTAATCGAAGTGAAAAAAAAATCTTTTTTTTTTGGAATAACAAAATTAAAACAGTCATGTTCAATGCTTTAGATGATTTGATAACAAGATATCTTCAGGATTTTTGCAACCAAATGAAAAGTACAAGATATCCGAAAAGTTATCTACTGAAAAGTATTTTGAATAACTCAACTATGTTGTTATCAAATTAGTTTCTTGTGATCGAAGACAGTTTCAAGTTTGTATTGTTATGAGTAGGGGTCGACAAGCTCAGCTCACGCTCAAAAATGATGAGCTGTTGAAAAAGCTCA